ACACACACACACACACACACACACACACACACACACACACACACACACACACACACACACATATATATATGTGTGTGTGTGTATACTGTGTAATTATATATATATATATAATTACAAATTAAATTCTTTTTTAATTCTAGCATAAGTTGTCATGTCTTAAAATGAATTTAAAACAATTAAAAGATCTGTTAATAAATATTTATTTTATATAATAGAATTAATAATGAATAAACACAAAAGGATTAAAAAAGATTTACGTAAAACTAATCCAAACATTCAATTATATGTATTCAATTATATGTAACAATATTGAAATAATTTTCCAAAAATACAGAGATTAATTTATTTTATTTTAAAAGTATTAAATTAAAAGAGCGAAGAAAAATTCGTAATTAATGTTATAGAATTGCAATATAAATAGAATTACAATGAAATTAACGGCATAGCGTATAAAATAAAAGTACATCCGTCGAGCTTTTGCGTCAGCATTAAACTGAATCCTAATCATACGTATTAGATGAGATTTACGCAAATCCTGGTAACATTTAATCAAATGATACTTTAAAAAATTGAACAACTCTCGAGATTACATAAAGTAGTCTCAGAGTTTAAAGGGATAAAGTCGAAGTTCGGGATTAACGCTGTCAAAAACATAACTTCTTACCTTGAAACTTTATCGAAAATTTTTGCCTAAAATTATATGATCTTATTGATTTGATAGAATTAATATTATTCTGAAATGAGCATAAATTATAAATTAATTATTTTGTTTGAGGAATATATTTAGTAATCTATATCTTAATAATTTCTGACGTTTTTTTAAACTAAAAATAAAAATTCTTTTCAGAAATAATTATTGTATTCTCTATTGTCAGATATGTCATGACAAATAATGATTATTAGTAATGATTTTAAGCTTACATGAAATTTTAATAATACGAGTCATTCAATGGTTTCGTAACAACATTCCCTAATCAATAATGCGAGAACATCGATCTCTCGGTTAACCACAGAGAGTTTCAGTTTACATTCTAATTATAGACATACATTTCTAATTATACATTTCTACATTCGCAAATCGATTCAGTCTAACTTCGCTTAGAGGATATTCTACCTGTTTCTTTATTCTGAGAATTAATCATGTCTGATAGACGCAACATGATCGTCAGTATCAGATATCTTTCATCTCTATTGCACTCAGAAGAAATCTTGTTATTATTGTTTGCTATCACTTAATCCTTAAACGACCCTATTAGTGGCTAAATATCCGATAATTTGTTGTTCATATCACCAATAATCTACTTTTATTGCGTGTTATAATTAGATTATATAATAGCTGGAAATAATAAAGAAAAAAGAAAGAGTAAAATTATTGATATTATAATTATTATTTATATATTAATTTTATAATTTATTTTAAATAATACATAATTATAAACATTTTGGTAAGATAACAATCGTCTTCAATCGTCTAAACAACACTATTAATTTATTAAGAAAGAAAGAAAAATATTAATGAGCATTGTAATATTTTGATCATGAATTTTAGCGCATAATTAAATGTTAAATTTATGTTAAAATTGTAATATTTTTAATATATATTTACAGACACACACACACACACACACACACACACACACACACACACACACACACACAACAACACACACACACACACACACACACACACACACGTATTAAATAAAATTCTAAAATTTTAAAAATCTTAGAAATAATATTTATTTTGCCATATCTAATTGGCTTTTGACAGTAGAGAAACGCATTTCCATTAAATGTATACATATATATGTATTTCTAAGACTTAGCATCTTGTCGCAGTGGTGAATTGATTAAATTTGAGATTTGACATCTTCCAGTATAGAAGCGCAATAATATTCTGCATAACATTTGCATTCACCATCATTGTATACTCAAGGATGGCCGCATAGTTGCCGCAATATTCATCGGAGATTTGTACATAAATTCAATTATCATCCATTAAAATAACATGACGCAAACGCGAAATAACACAAACGGACATCGTTGACGTTGGCACCATGAAATGTCATTCTGTACGAAAAAAATGCATTAACTACGTATTTTCTGATGTTTTACTATACTCGATTGACTCGCAAATTGAACCCGCATATTAAATGCATGAAATGCATTCTAAAATAACAATGACTAATAATCTTTATAGTTACAAAGAGACGAATAGAATTAATAAAATACTATGTAATTTGTATAAATATCTTTTTTCATAGTAATTTTATATTTTTATATCAACGCAAATAATTTATATACTAATTTAAATATAATTTTTTTATATTCTTAAATTGCTTTTTTAAAATAAATAACTAATTTATTAAGTTTCGTATTACACAAATAATTATTTTATGTAATTTGAAATTTATTTGATTAAGTAATATCAAGACTTCAATAATAATATGTATTTTGATAAAATTAAAAAACAAGATGAAATTTTACAATAATAATTGCTTTTGCAGTATGTGTTATAATCTAATAATAATGTTATGATATATCCGTATGTATTCAGAAATATATATTCAGATATATTCATATTTATATATATTCATATATATATTCATTATGTTCATGTATTATCTATTAAAAAAAACAGAACTTCACCATATCTCTCTTACAGTGTTATAAACGAGCTATCGAGACTTTGGTTAGCATTCAAATCAGATAAGAAAACAGATCGTTTGTTCGAATTATATCTATAAAGATCGAAATTTTACTTATTGTTTACGTTACATCAATAATTCAAAATAATTTTCTTTAACCATTTCTATAACAAAAATTGGAAAGACTTATTTTAATAAAAACAGCTTTAGGAATTCTTTTCTTATGATAAATTATAGCCAATCTCAATATAAGAGACTTATAAATAATAAAGGCAGAAATATTCAGATATGAATAATTTGTATATTAAAATTTATTATATTTTTATTATAATGAATAATTTTCGAAATGTAAAAGTGTAAATAGAAAGACATGAAAATTTATGTAACGATATGCTAAAAATTATAGATATAAAGAATAATGGCAAAGAATGTATTATAGATAGCACACTACGGATCTCTTATAGCTTTGCCTGAAAATTTTAGTTAACTCTATTTTTAAACAAAAGAAGTATAAGGGTTGTTATTATTCGATCTGAGCTTGAAGTACTATTCTTGCTTAATCGCTTTTTCCAATTTAAGTTGAATCTCATCTGTATGTGTGAGTGTGCAAACCGCTTTGTCTTATATATAAAAATATATAAAATCGATAATTTGCCTAAATATGTTTTGATCTGGTTAATCAGATGACTGAAGTGTTGTCTAAAAATACAACTACGCGTATTATCGAATATTCAATAATTGTTACAGATTTCGAGTTTACTTTGAACTGGTAATATGTAAATGCTGCTGTATGATAGATCGGACAAACGTACAAACTCACGAAATACAAGAATTAGCGGGATTTCAACGTTCAGACCTCATACCATGTAATTCTGGTAAGTATTGAATAGATATAAATAATCGGGTTTGGATTTTTTATTTTACGATTTGCATAAGATCTGTTTGAAATTGAATTTATGATTTACTGAAATATCCATTGTCTCGAGCAGAATATAATAGATAGTTTGAAAATACTTCATCATATCAAGAAAATATTAACAATCTTATTTAAGCAAAATTGTATATTTATTTTTATTGCTAATAATATCTTACAGATTCTTTTATTTTATATAACACTGCAGAGACATAAATCAGATTTTATAGACGATAGATTCGTTGATATGATTTGACGCGCTCGACAGGATAGAAATTGCGAATCTAACAAAGAGAGAATCGAAGAGAGTCAATCATCAAATTATTTTATCCAAAACGTCAGATAGACAGTATCGATTTGTTCAGTATCTCGTCTAACTGAGTTTATCTTGTTCACAACTGCGAACACTTTCATTTTTTTTTTTTCATCTGTTTGAAAACAGAATGTTTTTTATTGCATCAAGATTTCCATTTAATTCATTTTAATTCTATTTCTCCTTCATACACAAACTAATCAATGAGATAAATTTATTAATACAAATAAAATGAATATATAAAATAGTCGAAATATAAATAACAACACTTTTCAATCGTGTTCGATAGATATGACATTTGAACTTTTCAAGAATATTCCTCTTTATTTTCCCGTATTTTTTTCTTGCTATAATAAAAAATAAAGTGATAGATACAATAGTAATAAATATAAAATTAAGTAACAATAATTTTGGGAAATTAAACATTAAGAATATACACTTTTTTAGATTATTCTAGAATATTAAATAGTAATAAAACATCCAGGCATTGTAAAATCTGAATGTAAAATAGCAAATTTTTTGTTCTTAAAACAATATCATATTTTCAACAATAATGAAACACACAACTAAAAGATTTAATGATAATTGTACATAGATCGTTTTATTATTTCTTATTTCTGAAAACTATTCCTCCTTGTATTTTATATTTTATAATTATTATTTATTTTAATAAAATGGAGTAAAGACACATTCTCAATAATTTATTCATGTGATGTATTTTCTTTTCTTTCCTTTTCATGCTTGAAATATTTTCATTATATAGCAAAAAATGGTCATTTTTATATACATGTATCTATGAGAAATATTTCGCATGCTTTATTTAGCATATGATGCATCAAGTGAGTAAGTTGAAAAATGTTATCATAAAATCTCAGAGTAACGTTGAATTTTAAATTACCATGCTATATTTATACATGAACTATCTACTACGTACACTACGTGGAATTTCAGCTTCTAGGTTAAAAGACATACTTAATCTTGTCATTATTCTTAATGTGAAATTGTCCTTATTTAAGTTATAGAAAGTGCGCAATGATATATTTAATTTTCTAAAAAGACGTATCAATCTAGTTTGATAATTCAATCTAAAATATGAGATAAATTAGCAATATTATTTTACAAAATGCAGTATAGTCTGAGAATGATACAAGTAAAACAATGTGTTTGTAAACGATAATTATAATGTTTATTTAATATTTACAAAATAGATAGAAACAATATCAATATAATTTAATTATGCTGTTCAAATTTCTAATTTATTTCACATAAAATAGATTTAATAGTGTTTCTAGATTTTTCCATTTTTTTTATTTATATAGAGATATTAGAGATTAGATCAAAAAAGGTTTTCTAAAAAGATTTTCAAGTTCAAAAGAAATGATTAAAGTTTTTTCCTTGAACAAAAACATAAACCAATTTGTGTAAAACATTATCAATTTGTTATTTGTTTCCTACTTCAATCATCATAATTTACAATTCGGTAATCAAAGAAAATGCTGTTGGAAATTATTTTTCTAGTATTGTATATACAGTGTCGTTACTTGTAATATTATAAATCTATTTCTATTCTTCAAAAATTAACAAATTTAGATAAAATTTGCAGATCAAAAAAAATTTCAATTCAAATTCAAATAATGCTACTTTCAAATGCAAATTTATATTCTATATTCAAATATTTGAACCTGCACAACTTAAGCTTGCATTCGCTTTGTTTCCAGGTCGTTTTAAATCTACTTCTGTCAGATGGCGACAAAGCGTAGCCGAAAGCCAGGTACAAACTTTTAAAATGAATCCTCGAACAATGTGCGAGAGGCTTCAAACTAAAGAGGATGTTGCTATAATATGAGTTAAATATAATTTAAGTATTTATAATAATAACATTACAAATGATGTCATAATATTTATAGTTCACAACAAGCTTTGTTATAAGTGATTATCGAATGTTATAATGCAATTCTGGTTGCACAAATGCTGAATGACTAATAATAATAAGTTTAAGCATAATATCTCTTATCTTATCTTTTTCGCTTTTCTTACTTATAAATATTATTTTCTTACTTATAAATGAGACCGAAAGGAATGTAAAAAAAAAACTCGATGTCATTTGTGTAAAATTATATAAATATAACTTATATATTCATGTTAACATTTTTTATTATTTAATCTCTTAAAACTGCTTATGACAAAATTCTGTACATATTATAAAAAATAAATGTAATTTGTTCAGCTAATTATAAATATTATTTATTAATAACATTTTTTCAATATTTCTTATAAATATTATTCTTTGATATAACATATGTTTTTTATTAAAAGTATAATTTCCAATATATAAAAATTTTCCATATTTTTCGTATTTTCCATATTTTTATTAATGTTTTATTAATATTTGATTTTATATCCGCAATGGATTTTAAATAAATCTTTTAGTGATTTATGCATAAGCATTTTAATTAACAGACATTTCGTATTCAATGTCACTTTATAAAAGTAACATTATTACGTACACAATTTTTCCTTATTATTATTTTGTATATGACATTCTATATGCATTTTTCCTTATTATTATTTTGTATATGACATTTTATATGCAAAATTATTAGACTCATTAACGCGCGGGAAAGCTCGTTAAGTAAATTTCCAAGTTTCGACGGCAAATTATGCTACGCTAAAACATAATGCTTAAAAAGAAAATAATAATTATTTGAAGTTTATGTAGCTTTAAGATAGTTCTTTTTAGTATCTTAATAAAATAATATCTATCATTTAATAATTCTTTTTTATTTTTTCATTTAATAATTCTCGTTTTTATAATTCTAAATTTAAGATAAATAAAATCAGAAATATTTGAGTATTTACGTTATTATATAAGATGTAATAAAATTATATATGATATGATATTTATGTAATAAATTTATTTAAAGTATTGTATTATTAATACTAGTTGTAATTTTTTTTACTCCTACCTATTATTATAAAATTAATTTTGCAATACATTTTAAGTAAATATAGAAAATTCTTGAATTACTAATTAATGGGAAATATAGTCGCCATATCTAAATTAAACTGAAGATGCGCTAGAATGTATAGTTTAAAAAATTTAACGAGGAATGAGTGCTTTCAGAATGTAGACATATAAACAATAGCTCTACATATTCCAGAAGTGAATATATTCATGTATGTCGTGACAAGGAATAACGCACATTAAATTAAACTTGATTTACTTACGGATTTCCATTATTATTTCACAGAAACAGGAAACATGTTCTCGAATATCGTACAATAAGTTTACAAACCAAATACGCAAACTTATAAGAGAAATATATATAAATTCATCTCAATAAATTAATATTTTTTTTACAATAAAGAAAAGAAAAAACTTTATTATAATATTAATCATTTGTAAATTATATTTTATGTGTACATATACACATGTAAGAAAAAAGATAATAAATTTTAAAGAATTTTAAATAAACTGCTAAACATAATGAGCCATTAAGAATACTTTCGAGAAAGTCGTTATTCTCTGCAAATATTTGCAATAATAATATATTTGGCAATAGAATAATGGAATCGAGCATGTCAGATCCTCAAGCGTAAAGCATTCATTTCAAACTCCTATTTAATCGTACACGTGCGATCGTACACAGAGTGCTTTGAACGATTTACTTCCATCATGTTTGTCGTTTTCACTTGACTTCCTACAAGCTAGTACTATCTCTTATTGTGCCTCTATTCTCCGAGGTTGCTACGATACGTATGTTTGTGAAATGTCAAAATCTATTGCGGAGGGACAAGACCAGTGACACCAATTCAAGGTAGAAGGATTCTTGGGCAGCATTTTACCTTTTGACGAAAATACTTTTTTTCGAAGTTATTAAGCTTAAATTGGTAAAAAATAAAATATTTTAATGAGCGAATATGGGACTTTCACACGATATAAATAAATAAAAACTTCTCAGATCATTTAATAACATTTTATATTTCATTATATTTCTGTATAAATTTGTATATATACCGTTTCTTTAACTACGCATCGATTACTATTTGATTTTAAAATAGTATTTTATAATGTTATATTATTAAATTAATTACAATTTAATATTATTTAATATTATCGATGTTGTAAGCTTGTTCTTATAAATATGCAATAATATAAAATATTTCTTGCATAATAAAAAATTTAATAACGAATGAAGATATTATTAAATAGATTATTACGATATATTTTATAATATTGAATTAATCGATCGTAAAACATATTCTCACATATATCACTAATTAAGTCTCTTATAAATTAAAAAAAATAAATTTTAAAAAAAAAAGTAATTAAATTAAGTAAATAAAAAATTTTTATATTTTTATATAAAACTTTTTATTGCTGTCTTATCATATGTATTCTATATGCTTATGCTATGCTTTGCATTATAATTTCTAGAAAATTAATTAAGTACATGCGATATAAGCCTGCCAATACATGATGATTTTTGCAATAGAAAACTTTAACTGACTTTAAATATAAAGTAAAATGCTATAGAAAATAAAAGCAAATATATTAGTTTTAAAATAAAGCGAGTACGTCTTATATACTTTGTGCGTATAATCTTTTACTTTACTACAAAGCAGTTTGTTTCATTAGTTGAATTATCTCTTCGTTAATGCTCTCCAGCCATGCATAAACGTATATAAAGTTGTAATATATAATTCGCATATTGTTTATTTTTTCACTGTATTATTTTAGAAGCAAATTTAACTTCTAGCATTTACAATTGCTGAAATATTTTTATACGCATTTTTCGAAGTACATATATTTGCATTATTTTCATTTCACACAATTTATTATGACTTAATTCTTATTGATGCTGAAATATCTACAGATTTATATTTCCAATCCCATTGCTCATGTCTGAGCGTAGTGGATCTCTCTCATATACTTGTGGTGCGCACGATGATTATACACAGATATATGGCATTTACAATTTAACGCCAATTCCAAACGGCAAATTTTCGATAGAGAGACGTACTAAGCAAAGTTACTCTCGATGGTTTGCCTTCCGAGAGGAGAGTAAATAATTTGGCTTTGCCAGAAATCGAACCCGAGATCTTTAGCATATTAGACTAGTGTCTACCATGCCGCACTCGCTCAACAAAAAAATGCATAACACAAATCACTTTGTTTAGTAGAAATCTATGACTACAATTCAACTCTACATATATCTGATTTTATTATTCATATGTTGATTATAGAATTGCAAAGGAGATTTGCGTCAACTGTCATGTTCACTATCAGTTGGCTCATAGGGTTGCAAAATTTTGAGTAAAATGTTGGGAGCAAGAAAGATAGAGAGAGAGAGAGAGAGAGAGAGAGAGAGAGAGAGAGAAGAAGCACGTATCCACCTACAGTATGAAAGCCGCGTATACAAGTCGTTTACATAATCTTAATGATATGTAACCATGCGACGCGAATACAGACCCCCAAAGGGCCATACTATGCTGAGTTTCACAAATGAGAGAGACAACACAGCTCGCACACCGTTTGCAAATAAATCTAGTCCGTGGATGCCTCTGCCTTCCAGCTTGGCTTTATGAAACGTCGACTGGTGAACCAGGCAAATAAAATTATTGCTGACCGTAGCTACCATGCACGCGCCCATATTGGATGAGAGAAAAAAAAAACAAGAGTAAAAGCTGTAATGTAGTTTCACGGGACACATGCGACTCGTGGTAAAATTGGATTCCTGTCTAATTCAACGTTTACGTAAAAGTGCAGCCTTTCAGAACGGAGATGAATGTCTGTCGGAGTATGAGACTGACGATGACGCTTCGTTAGATTTAAGCGCAAGGATGAATGGCATGATATATGGTACTGTCACAAAAAAAAAAAAAATAGCTTATTTTGACTACGTAGATAACGACGTTGAAATTCTGAAGATCGATACCTATGTGTGTGAATTTTTACTGCGTTATATTGTTATTATTTTATCTCCCTGTTATCTTCTTGTTTGTTTAAAAAGCTATTGAGATTCCTGTTAAAAATATCAATTAAAAATATTTTACAAATGGAATATTAAATTATATTGAAATTGTTCAAAAAGCCCAAGGCCTGATTTTTGTGGAACAGATAGGAATTCATCGAGTTATTATCAAACTTAGGATCAGCTTCATGGATAGATGATTGAACTGAGTTCCTTAGGATATACTTCATAGTTTAGCGAAACTTGTTTGTTGGCTTGGTGCCATCTGCTGACCGTAGAAAGCCAAAGTAAACTAAATCTATAAATTCATAAACTTCACTTTAAGTATGATGTGTCTAAAGTGAACTGCTGCACTCAGACCACGGACGCGTTGTTAGAAATTTTCATAATACAACAAATTTCCATCTACTTATTTAACTTATTTAATGTTTGTAATAAATATATTACATAATATTATATTTTAATATAAAAAATTATTTATTTATGTTTATATAATTTATATATATTTTAATTGTATATTTTTTTTCTTCAATTGCACTTTCTTGATCAATCTATCTCTGGATAATTACATAAAATGATACAGTGTGGTAACATAGTAATTTTAAAGAGCATTATCGAGAAAGTTGTAAGAGCATTAATAGGGATTAGGTCAATTAATTACGATCCTAAGCACAAAGGTTTCGCAACCGCGTGCCCCATATTGCTCATAATGCGATAGATCATGTAATCGCAGGTCAATTATGATTCACATGTAGAACGATAGGAATAAAAGTCATTGTGTCAATTTGTAAAATCTTATGATAGTTTTCTTTCCATTGTTAAAATATTCTTTTATGTATAAATGTGCTTGCGTGAATATATACATAACATCGTAGGGAATCTTTTATGAAATAGAAGATCTGTAGAATAGATCTTTCTTCTATTTTATGTTCTACCGGGAATTTAAAACTGATTGAAGAAAAGGTCGGAGCAATTTAGTTACCCTTCGTTTCTCTTTTTGGAATGTTTTTATTTCGCTGAAAAACAAGTTAGCTGAATTTCAGTA